CCCACCTATCTCAGATTTCTTATTTTACTTATACTCATTTGTGTATATTAAGATCTATAAAATTTTGTCACCTATTTAGTTAAGATACTGGCCAACATGGCAAATATCCCTAGTAGTGCCCTTTTATAATCACACCCACCAGCCTCCTGTTCCTCCACCCTTCTTCTGTCCCTAATCCCTGGCAACCACCAGCCTCTTCTCCCTTTCTAAAATTTTGTCATTTCAGTAATGTTATATAAATGGAATGATATGGCACACAATATTTGGAGATTGGTTTTTCTTGCTCAGCATAATTTCCCAGAGATTCATCCAAGCTGTTCATGGTTCATTCCTCTTCATTACTGAGTAGTATTCTATGGCATGTATAAACAGTTTGTAACCATTCACCTTTTAAAAATATCTGGGCTGATTCCAGTTTTTGGTTCTTACAAATAAAGCTGGTACAGGTTTTTGGGTGAACATAAGTTTTCATTTCTTTGGATTAAATGCCTAGGAGTGCAATCGCTGGATTATATGGTGGTTGTATGTTTAGTTTTTAAAAGAAACTGCCAAGTTTTCTAGAGTGACTGTACAATTTTACATTCCCACCAGCAATGTATGAATGATCCAGTTTCTCTGCATTCTCAGCAACATTTGGTATTGTCTCTGTTTTATTTTAGCCATTCTGATAAATACGTCATGATATCTCATTGTGATTTTAATTTGTATTTCACTAATGTTTAATGATGGTGAACATTTTTTCATGTGTTATTTGCCATCTGTATATCCTCTTCAGTGAAATGGCTTTATGTTGTTTGCCCATTTTCTTTTTTTTAATTTAAATTCAATTACTTAACTTATAATGTATTATTTGTTTCAATGGTACAGGTCTGTGATTCATCGGTCTTATATAATACCCAGTGCTCATTACAACACATACCCTCCCCAATGTCCATCACCCACTTACCCCATCCTCCTACCCCCCTCCCCTCCAGCAACCCTCAGTTTGTTTCCTAAGATTAAGAGTCTCTTATGATTTGTCTCCCTCTCTGGTTTTGTCTTGTTTCATTTTTTTCTTCTCTTCCCCTATGATCCTCTCCCTTGTTTCTTAAATTCTACATATCAGTGAGATCATATAATTGTCTTTCTCTGATTGACTTATTTTACTTAGCATAATACCCTCTAGTTCCATCCACATCATTGCATATGGCAAGATTTCATTTTCTGATGGTTGTGTGATATTCCATTGTGTATACCACATTTTTTTTATCCATTCATCTGTCGATAGACATCTGACATTTGCCCATTTTCTAATTGGATTGTTATTTTACTGTTGAGTTGTGAGAATTCTTTATATATTCTAGGTATTATTCCTTTATTGGATATTTGGTTTACAAATATTTTCTCCCAGTCTGTAGCTTGTCTTTTCATCTTCTTTACACAAATTTTCACAGAGCAAAACTTTAAAAATTTTTTGATGACATCCAATTTATCAATTTTTTCCTTTATTGCTCTTGCTTTTGGTATCAAGTCAAAGAACTCTTTGCCCAGTTCTAAATACTGAAGATTTTTTCCTGTTTTTTTTCTAAAAGGGCCCTGGGTTTTTAATCCCTGTCGTGTCAGTTTGCTTTATGAGGAATGAAAGGTAAGGCTGCCTGGCTTCCTACCTTCATGGAGCTTTCATTCTATTTGGAAACCAACACCAGCTGCCTAGGGCAGGAGGTCCTGATAAGGGAGCTTGTTAAAGACACATACCACAGAAGATTCTCGTTCAGGGATCTGGGATGGAGCTAGCTCCAGCCTTTTATCTAGGAACCTGCTGTCAGCCATTGCTCATACCCCAACCCAGCCAAGCTGAACTCATCAGATCAGACACTTCATTCAGGTCTGCAGCAGGGGAAGCTGAATGGCTGGGGACAGGGAACTCTAGGGCCAGAGACCAGGCACAAAGGCAAGGTGGATGGTCTTAGGAGAGATTCCTATTGAGGTCTGGGGGCCTGGGGGTGGTCTTTCTCTGCCTGGGGATAGGGCATGGTTCTCTGGCTCCAACTGGGCCAAAGCAAATGCCCTGGGGGCTTTCTAAACCTTGTTCCTTGATTAAACAGCAAACATGTATTTGCCCAGGCACCGGGCTCAGTCTTGGAGTTACAGAAGGCGCAAGACAGACAATAACATTTGCCCACAAGGAGCTTATATTCTTATCAGAAACATTAGGCAACATCATACTACATAGTCACCTAGTATGCCAGAAAGTGGAAGATGCAGAGTTGGGGTGACACACGGCTGGTCTTAATGCTCGAAGTCCTCCCAAGAGGGAAGTGAGAGGGAGTCCTACGGCCAGCTACAGGAAGAGTCCCAGACAGAAGGCACAGGTAGTACAAAGGCCCAAAGTGGAAATAGCTGGTGTGTTTCACGAGCAGTAAGGATGCCAGTGAGGTTGCAGGTAATGGAGAGATCAATATTGTGTGGGTCTCATGGACCACTATGATGACTTTGGCTTTTACAAACATGAGGAACTGTTGTGGATTTTCAGCAAACAAGGGAGATGATCTGATCTACATATCAGAAGAATTATTCTGCCTGCTAAGAGGACAATAAACTGGAAGGGAAAGCTTTGAAGCAGGGACACCAGGTAGGAAGCTCTTGCAATTATTCAAGCAAGAGAAGAAGGTGCCTCTTGGATCAGGGAAAGCAGTGGACATACTGAGGAATGGTTCAATCTTGGGTACATATTAAAGGAATAATCAACAGGATTTCCTGACACTTTGGATATAGGGTGTGAAAGAAGAGTATCAAGGGGACTCCAAGGTGTTTGGCAGGATCTAGCTACCATGACCTGACCTGGGGAAGGCTGCGGAGGGGTGGGGTTGGCAAAGGATCCAGAGCTCAGTCATGTGTTTTGGAGATGCCTGTAAGACATTTACAAGGGGATATGGAATAGCCTGTTGGCTATTGAGTCTGGAGTTCAGGAGAGAGCTCAAGCTAGAAAGAGAAATGGCAGTTTCCAGGTGGTACTTAGGGCCAAGAACTTGGGTTACTGATGAAAGATTAAGTGTGGACAGAGGGGAGGAGAGAATTAAAGTCTGGTCCTGGGCAATCTAAGAGTTAAAGGGCCTGATATGAAACTTGAACCACTGCCCTTCTGGTGGCAGGATGCCTTAGAAGATGCCTCAGCCCCTTCCTCAATCAGCAGTCCTAGAGACTTCGGCTTTGGAGGCAAATACCAGCATGAGATGTCCTAGGAGTGAGGCATAGCTTTAATTTCTAACTGCCCTTTCAGGATTGTGGCAAGTTTAGCAGCTTAGGGGTAGTGGCTCCTGGCAGCTCCCTCCATTATGGGTCCTGAGGTAACATCTTAAGGGCAGGTGAGCATCATTTTTCCCCATTCACCTTCTTTCTCACTGTCTTTAAAGGAACCAGCGCAGCAACACTTGTTCTCCAAGCATGACAACCGTACTTCTTTCGACAAAGTGAGTACTGAACAAAGGAAGGAGAGCGGGCAGGGCCTCAGCCTAGGTTGAAGTTGAGGTAGGGTGGAGGGGATAAGACACTGAGGGGAGGGAGGGCTCCTGACAACCTCTCTTGTCTGGGAAACAGCCCATTCCCCAAACAAAGGTACCTCTGCTTTGGTTTCATCCACTAGCTTGCCTGGCAATGCGCAAATATCCTAGGGGCCACTGACTTTCTGGAGGTTTCATCCTGGAATGGAAGGCATGGCTGGGGAGGCAGGCCAAAGAGGCTGGGGTACAGGCCAGGGGAGCCAGGTATCACCGAGTAGGCTTGGGTTGAGGAGGGGCCGAGGGGTGCTTGGTGCCAGGACTGTGGGCCAAGGGCCCACACCATTGAGGAGGGCCCCTACTGCCTGCTGCAGGGAATCGGAAGGCGGAAAGACCTGGAGCGCCTATGGCAGCGGCACACCTTCCTGCGCTGGGCACCCCATGAGCTGGAGTTGGGCGAGCAGCGGCCCCTTGAATCCTCCTACCAGGCCAATTTCCGGTCAGGCCCAGGACTCAGTGACCTCCCCCAGCGCCTTATCCACTTTGTGCAGATCGAGCCTCCCCATACCAGCACCACCTACCGGCAGAACTTCTGCCAGCCATCCCGGGGTGGCCACTGTGGCAGCAACAACATGGGACCAGTCACCAACACACTGCCTGACCTCCCAGGGATCCCAAGACCCAAGCTGCTGCAGCATTACCTTCATGACGGAGTCTCGGAGTGTCTAAATTGGTCCAGAGCATTAAACAAGGACAGCTGACACAGCAGCCTGTCTGTGTTTGCAGCCCAAAGGTTCTTAGAAGCTGGAGAGCAGTAAGGCCCATGGCACCTGTGTGCTGGGCAGGGGAGGTGCTGCCCTGGGAACCCTGCCACTGAGCGAGAACCCTGCAGGAGGCTAAGGGTCCAGGAGGGTCACCATGGTTACAGCAGATCAGTTCTGGGACCCCAAATCCATTCTTGCAGTAAACCCAGCTGTGAGCCCCTTGCATTCATGTGGCTACAGGGAAAGCGGGGTCCGTGGGCCCTCCTATTGAGCAGCAAAGACTGGAGGAGGAGGCAAGGGCTGGCAGCTTTGATTTCTCTGGGAGGCTACTATGTCTCTAGGGGTCTGGTGGGAAGCCACATAGTTCTGCCTAAGCTGGGAAAGGGGGAGCCTGTCCTGGCCACAGCCCCCACTGGACCACCCCTCCCTATGGAGGTGAGCAGAGACTTTGAGGAGATCCTGCGCATTGTGGACCTGGAGGTCATCCTGACCCTGTGGAGCTTTGCTGTAGTTTTCTGAGCTCTTCTCTGGCCGTCCTGTGAGTGCCCTCTAACACCCACGACAGTGGAGGGCAGCAGTCATCCTACATCACCAAAAGAGAAACTAAGGCTTAGGTGGGGCTAAGACACCAGAACACTTTGGGGGCAGAAGCCAGATCCAAAAGGCTACTCTGGACCCTCCTCCCTGGGAGAATCAAGGCCCCTGAAGGAGGGCAAGGGGCTGCAGGGGCAACACAGGAGTCGACACCGAGGGCCATACACCGGATTTTAGCAGCACTTTTACTTTCACATCTGAACTTCCTGGGTCCTCACAACAGCCCTGTGAGGTAGGTAGGGCAGGAAGGTTTCAGAGATCCCCATTTACAGATGAGGATGCTGAGGCACAGAGAGGTGAAATGACTTGCTCAAGATCACACAGTCAACAGTGTAAAGGGCCCAAAGCCAATATTCCTCTGGTCCTCTGGAGGTTCCTACATCCACTCCTCCACTCCCTCTGTGTCCTCTGACCTGTCTGAACTCTCCTGGGGCCACAGAGGGCTTCAAGGTGGCTGACAGCTAGGATTTTTCAGGAACAGCTATTAGGGTGAGCCTGGTCAACTCCAGGTAGGCACTAATCCTGTGGGGCATGAGGCCAGCTCTCCCACCCTCCCACTTCCCAGTTGGACAGAGGGCCCAGTAGTTCCAGAGCAAGTGTGGAGCTAGGCATGGTCCATGAATGAATGGGGATAAAGGTGGGTATAAGCATATGTGTCCTGTACTAGAGACAAAGTCCCCTCACCCTTTGAGACATTTGTCTCAAGTCCCTGACCCTGTGCCTCCCTCATCCCACAGAGCCACAGTGAGCTTCTTCAGCAGCAAAAGGAGCCACAGACCTGTGCCTCTGGCATGCGCTGCCCCAGCTGACACATCCCATCAGGCATTCAGACCCCATCACGCAGACACAGCGCCTCCACAGCTTGGCTGGGACCCTGGGCCACACCCCCAATGACAAACAGCCGGGGCCCAGCCTGCAGACTAGAACAAGAGCAGCGGGCTGTGGGCATGGTGGGCAGGGCCTCCCAGCGCCGCCGTGCAAGGCTGAAGCCCTCCACAGAGCCCAGAGGGCAAGGCTGGTTGCCTGCAGGAAGGAGACAGAAGTTGTAAAGGGCACCGGCTGCAAGGGCCCCTGGTTTTTTGCTTGCTGAGCCCAGAGATGGCCCAGCAGGCATCACCCCAGGATGGGCTACCAGTGCCTTGCTAGTCATAGCCCCCATTCATCATTCATTCATTTCTTTAGATTTCTACTTCTCCATTCATTCAGTGGTCACTTGTCCTGTTTCTGTCTCCTAGGCCACTGCTGGTACAGAGCCATCAATCAGGTGCTGAGGGACACCCCAAGAGTTAGGCTATGCAGATTACACCCTGTCTGTTTCACAGACTGGGAAAGGGAAGCTCACAAAGCCCTGATCCCTGGAGTGTGTGAAGAAGGGCAAGAGATAGTGCTTATGCTTGGGGTTCCTCCTTCCTGTCTTGGGCTCACCACCTATCCCTAGCCCCACAGATACTCACCAAGGCCCCCAATGGCCATGATGTGGCCCCCAAGGGAGCCAACCACAAAGTCGGCCCTCTTATCCCTCATGCGCAGGCTGCGGGGCAGCTTGGTCCAGGACCCTGCAGGAAAGGGGAGGTCAGATCCAGCCCCACAACATACACTGTGCCCCTCCATCCCATGGAAAGTGGGAGAACAGCCCAGGTAGCCACTGCTCACCATGTTCCAGGTCGAACATCTCCACAGTGTTGACAAAGTGTGGGCGGGAGTAGAAATTGTGGGGCCCAGGCTGCTGCAGGCCACCCAGGCTAAAGACGTTGCCTTCCGCCATGGCACAGCCAGCAAAGGCCCGGCGGCTGGGCAGGCTTGGGTGCCGGGTCCAGGTACAGGCCTCCAGATCAAAGGCCTCAAAAGCAGTCACTGGGAGCTTTCCCTGGCGGCCCCCTGCCAATGAAATTGGGACACCTGGGAAGGAGCCTGGGAGGCCTACTAGGCTCCTCCTTCACCAGGTTGCTAAGCCTTCACCACTGCCCACCCTAGCCCCCCCATACCCAGCTGTGTGCACACCTGAGCATGGATCCTACCCTGCAGATCCTCAGGCACTGGGGTTTGGTTTTCTGGCCCAGGAGAGCCACCAAAGGTCAGAACCTCCAAGCAAGCCTGGCTCACTCAAAGCTTCTCTTGTCCTGCCATCTCAGGCTAAACCTGATCCCAGCCAATCTATGGGGATAGGTGCTTCTGCACTTCGAGCCCCTTTCCCACATCCCCCAGGCCCTTACCCAGGACATAGATCTTGTTCCCGTGCAGGAAGGTAGAAGCCCCGTAGCAGGGTGTGGGCATGGAGGGTAGCGAAAGCCAGCAGTCCCGCCGGGGCTCATATACCCGAACTTGGGCCTGGGGAGCCGTGTCTGGGCCCATTCCCCCCAGAGCATACACCATACCATCTGCATAGAAAAGAGCAATTCAGAGTGCACCTCAGCCTGGCCAGGGCATCTTACCCTGACAGCTGCCCTGGTCAGGCCTGGGGGTGGCTGGGGACCCACATGTTTGTAGTACCCCTCCCAAGCAGCAGAGAAACTCTCCTTCCTTCCTGGAGTGGGGGCTGGGAGAGCTAGGATTCCTGCTCTGGCCAGGGTCCCTCCAAGTGAAGAGCAGGAGGCAGATGATCTAATTATAATCCATCTCTGTCTCCCTGGAGATGCTATGGCAACCAAGTCTGGCATCTAGGCAGGACCGGTGGTCAGACCTGGAGGCCACAAGGTGGAGGCTCCTCTAGGGGAAGGAGGGTGGAGGATGGTTTCAGCCAGGGAGGGGCATATGGGGATCTGCTGAGCATAGAACTCAGACTGGGGAAGGATCTCTGGGGATCAGCTGGGTGCTAGGAGAGCGGCTTAGGCCTGTAGGGTGGAGGTGCTGGCCACAAGCCTTTTGCCCAGAAGCCCTACCAGCCCCCCTGTATCCCACCCTTTCATTAGAGGAGGTTCTGGCCCTGTTACACCCTCCGGCTCAGCTGGGGGCATGTCTGGAGGCCTTGGGGAGACGGGTCAGTCAGCTGAGGGCTTCCATGGCAACTATCCCCAGGCCAGCTTGGCCTTCCCATCTCTGGCTCCCTGGTAAACGGGTATATGGGAAGAAGGGGGGGGGAGGGAATCTAAGCACTTACTGGGCTCTGAGCCAAGGCCCTGCTCCCCTCCCCTTCCCCTAGACTATTTATAACCCTGAGAGTCATTGCGCTACCCTCCTAGTCTCTTAGAGAAGAGGAATGGGCAGGGAGGTGGTTGGGGCCTCCCATCATACTGGGGGCCAGCCTGGGCTCTGCCTCCCACTTCACAGCGGGAAAGGGCAGTGAAGGCTGCTGCTAGCTCAGCTCAGACCTAGGTAGAGGGTCTTTACAAGAGTCAAAGCTGTCTCCAGGGCACTCAGACAAAATTTACAGCTCTTGTCCAATCTCTGAGGATAAGGGACCAAGTCAGAAAAGAATAGAGGGCGTTGGGGCACCTGAGGGACTCCCTTAAGGCCACTCACCTCTCTCCACAGTTGCAACCCCCATGGCTGCCTGAGGGAGGGTGGCCCGACGCTCCCAGCGGCCCTCATCAGCCAGGAAGGCCTCCACGGCAGCTACAGGGCTCTGGCCCTCATCCACACCGCCCACCACTAGCACCTGCTTGCCCAGCACCACAGCAGCTGCACCAGCCCGGGCAGTGGGCAGGGGTGCCAGTGCAAGCCATGTATGCGAGGCCATGTCCAGTGTCTCGGCAGTGTCCAGGGGCAGTCCAGCCCGGCCACAGCCCCCCAACACTAGCAGGTGCCCATCCTGGTATGCCACTGTGCCGTACACCCGGCAGGTGGGCATGGGTGGGAACACCTGCCAAGCAAAGGCCCGGCCACTGCCTGTAGCCATGGTGTTCACCTCCAGCGGCAGGCCATACTATCTGCTTAGGCTGCAGGTCTCACTGAGGGGCATGATGGGGCCTCATCTTGACTCAGGGCCACAGGGAGTGTCTGACCAGTTCCGGGACCTTGCCTTCACCTGGAGGAGAGAGGGAAAACAAAGGGTCAGGGCCACTGACTGGTCCCTGAGGGTACAGTTGAGCGGTCTGTAGCTGAGGGCAGGACTGGCCCAAAATCCCTGGCGGGAAAGGCACAGGGAGGACCTACCCCTGCTGGGCTAGCACACCACTGTAGAGGCGAGGCCCTCCTGGGTGGGAAAGAGGGCAGATTCCCAGATACTCAGGCAAATTACCCCCTTCCTATGGGGCATGAGGGATTCTCTCCCCACCCCCTGCCCTCACCTAAGAACACCCAACATCCTCTCCCCCACTTCAAATCTAGGTTGAGGTGGGAGGTAAGTTGACTAGGATAGGACACTTCACCCTGGCCCCCTTCTCTTCCTCTTGACAAGCCTCATTCTGGGGCTCTGCATGAATAGAGTCCTACTGTACCCTCCCCTTACTGCCTTCGAGTGTGTCCTGGACAGCCAGGGATCCGACTCCAGGGTATACTTACAACCCTTTTGGGGGCCATTCCATAGAGATCATCCATTCCCACCAGCAAAAGGCCAAGATCAGGGCGTTTGGGACTGGGAGGGGAGGAGCTGGACGCCAGGGTCCCACATTCTCCCTTCAGGTCTACTCTTAGGGGTTTGCCCATGCCAGGTTCCTAGAGGCCAGTCTCCTTGGTGTCCAGAAGTAGGGAGGGGGATGATTTTGGGATCCCATGAGCATTAGGACTCTAGACTCCCACAGTCCAGGGCGTTTCCAGTAGGAATGAGCAGCTGTACCTCCGAGTCCCCTCAGAGCAGATCCCCAAGTTCCTCAGCCTCTCCTTTCCCGCGGGGGCCACGCTCCTGGGACCCTTGGCGTGATGGCCTCCTGGCCCCAAACTTCCAGCTCGCGGGAGGCGGGGGGCGGGTCCAGGCGAGCGCGCCTGGGGCTCTGCGCCCCGCGCCCCAAACTTCCCCTGAGCGCGGCTCCTGCGGGACTCACCGGCCGGGGCTCCGGCGCCGCCGGGGCGCGGGGTCCGCCGTTCCGGCTCCGTGCCGGCTCTGGCTGGGGCTGAGGCCAGGCTCCGACGGGGCTCCGGCGGGGCTCCGGCTTGGCTCGGCGCGGGGCGGGGCTGGACCGGGTCCGCCCCTCGTCTCCCCTCCCGACTCGGGAAACTCTCCCCCCCGCCTTAACCCTGCACCTGCCGTGGCCAGAGCAGGGCGCGTCGACCCATGGTCACAGGGAAATCGGTAAACAGACAGATGGACATGTGGACGCTGGGCCTGCCCAGGATTTAGGGTCCGACCTTGGGCTGGGGGAGAACTGAGGCAGCAGTGAGCAGCACAACACGTGTATGGTGGGGGACCGCTCTGAGCGGGACCCAGCCTGGGAGCACCCGCGGGGTTAGGGGGGCGGGGGGCGGGGGGCGGGCCAGCAGAACCAGCAGGCTTGAGAGGCCCGCGCCCGCCCACTGGCACTGAGCTCGTAGGAGCCCTAAGACAGGTTTCGCGGCGGCGCCCCCTGGAGGCCACTTGGGGCATGGCCTGGGCCTCTGGTAGGGGTGGCGGCTGGGTGGCCCTTCCCCAGGCACACAGCAAGGTGCAGAATAGATCTTACGGTGGACATCGAGGCTAGCAGGGGATGGAGGTGCAAGCAGTGCCGGCCTCAGTGCCTGACAGGCCCTTCCACAGGCCTGGGTGGGGGAAGTTCTTGCTGGGAGGGTAGCTCTGAGTAAGGGATGAGCTTCAGGTGTCAGAGGCCAGGGGACCTCCTGGGCAGGTCACTCTGTAGGGCCTGAGGCCTGGGCTACTATGGGACCCAAGACATTTTGTGACAGTTCATATCCAGGGTCCTGGGCCTGCTTGTAGCCAACTCTGGGATCAGGTGAGAGCAAGTTGGTATGACAGAGGCCTATCTATTTCAGACCCAGGCCTTGGCCCAGCCTATCTTCTGGGCATTCAGAGTACTAGCTAAGTCTGTGAGCTGCGGGACCATTTGTGCAGGTTGGTGGTCACCTAGAAGAAATCCTTGCTACTATCTTGTCCCTCTTTCATGGACGGTGTGTGTCTCAATCCCCAAGAAGCTCATCTGGAGACAAAGGTATCAGTACATACAGTTAATGTGGGAGGTGAGGCCAGGAAGCACCAGCAGAGGAGTGGCAAAAAGAGAAAGCAGCCAATAAAGGCTGTGTCATCAAGGAAGTTACCACTGCGGGCAACTGGGACCAAATCTTGCTGGAGTCGCTCCCAGAGCAAAGGTTGCTTGAGGAATTCATTCTCAAATCTCCATCAGTTGTGGGTTAAGAGCTGCTTGGGGGCATTAACTCCTTGGCTTGCCTAAATCCTGAAGCCAACCCTGAGTGTGGGCAGAGCCTTTTCATGACCAGAGAGAGTCTCCAGCCCCTTTTACAGGCTGGCAATTGGAGTTGGAAGGTCTCTATGGAAATGGTGGTACCAAGGCCAGTTACAGAACCTAGCTAGAAGGCTTCCATCCTCTCCACTATGCTCCCAATATGCTCTTCACTTAGGGCACTGGTACCTTCCTCCACAGGGTGTTCACATTGCTCTGCAAAACCCCTTACATTTCCCACTCTTCCCTTTCCAGCAATTAAGCACTTAAAAGCCTCCTACCTTGAGATACCGCCCAGGACGCCCAGTCCCTCCATTTCCCCTTCCTCTCCTCCAGTCACCTTGGTATCTGCTACCTTATGTCCAGCAGTGAGCAGAACAAAATTGTTCCCCCAAAATTGCTCTTGCCAAAGTCACTGTGGAACACCATATAGCTAATACTATGGGTCCCTTCAGTCTTTGTCACAACTGAAATCTTGCTGACATCTTCAAAGTTTCATTTCTTGTGAACTTGGCACCTCTGCTCCAACTCATCCTGCTTCTCAGAGTCTTTTGAAGGCCCTGCTTCCTCTTCTCCCCAGGAAGTAGCTCCTCAAGATCCAGCCCTGGCTTTTCTCCTTGGCACACAGACTCCCTCCTGGGGTAAGCCCTTCCAGGCCCACTGGGATCACTCACAACTAGATGTCCACCAGATCTCTCTGGTCAGGTGGAAATGGGTCTAGGGCCCATTACTCAGGGCTGTAAAAGATGCCAAATGGAGAGCAAGGGCTGGGTCCTGGGATGACCCCGTGGTCTCTACCAACCTCATCCTTTCCAATCACAGTTACACCTACAGGGTCAGCATCCACCAAAATCGAGGTCAAGTCACTCTTTGCTCTGATTAATGCTCCCAGAGTTCCATCTGGGACATACTGAGCACCAAGAGGCAGAAGGCTCAGCTTCCCCTCAGGATGCTAGGTACCCATGACCCTGACCCCTAACCCCTACTATCCCCCCAGTTCTAATGTCTGCAAGGGATACAGCCTGGGGATGGACCTTCCCTACCTGGTCCTCTATTTTGCACTGAACTCTGGGCTGGACATCACCAGAGAGGGATTCCCCTTTTCAGGACACACCTAAATCCATGCCATCCCTGGAGGCTGGACTCTGACTCTTCATGGGACTGGCTTCTGTTTACACAGTCCTGGCACCACCTAAACACAGGAGGCCAACACTGCTGGCTTTGGAGAAGCTATGGAAGACAACCTGTGCAGAAGGTGAGGCGAGATTGGTCCTGAGAGTAGCAGCTAATCCTCAACCATGGATGGGACAGAGACAGGGCTCACCCACAGTTGGGGACTGGGCATACTAAGGTGGGACTTCCTGATTGCACCAGGATACCCTGGCCCTTGGGACTCCACACTTCCCTTCTTTCTAACAGGATGAGGGGTTAGAAGCACTAACCCCAAAGAAGCAGGAGAGTTTGCATTTTACTGTTGGACACCTTGGCTATGCTTGAAGGGACGAGGACCTCACTGTCAGTGCTGAGGCCCTGGGAAGCTCAAGAGTTACCAGATGAGGCCTAGGGTGGGTTGGGTGTTTCTCTTTAGGGGTGCCTAGACCCTTCTGTATCAGTAGGCAATGTAGAACAAGCTTGAGGATCCTGGGGTCATATGGGGAGGGAGAAGAGTTATTAGCCAGGCCCTAAATGAAGCATCCACCCACCCTCTTGTGACTGCCCACAGGCATTCACCTACCCCCAGCTACCAAATATGGCACCATTGTACATATCAGGGTCCAAGTGTTGTGGCAATATTTCTGCCTCCTAGTTCAGGCTCTGACTGAAGTGCAAAAACCAGAGCTTCCATGCTGGCTCCCAGCCTGGACTTGGGGTGGGGGGGACCCTAAGAGGGGCCTTTGGTTAGAGTTTAACCTCTTAGACTCCAAGGGTTAATTTCAACCTGTGTCCTCTCATCTGGTGCTGCTTGGACAGTGGGCTCTATAACCACCAGCCCTCTGCTGACCCCAGAGTACAGGTAGCAAGACTGAGGTCCCAGTCTCCTAGGCGAAAGGACAAGGATTCTGCACAGGAGAGACTGGAGCCAGGACTTCCTGACATTGAGGGGGCTGAGGCTGGGCAAGAGTTCTCCCACCACACCCATGCACATGGTATGCTAGGCATAGTACACTGGTATGCTAGGACTCTCAGATAGGACATGCCCAGCTTTGGGATTGTGTGCAGCATGTGTGTGCACATCAGCCTTTCATCCCACATGTGGGCCTCATTCTTGGGAAGAGAGGAGGGCCTGCTTCCCTTGAGGAGACACCCCTGCAACACTCTCAGGCAGACAATGGGGCATTCCTCTTTCCTTCTGGTCAGGAGCTTGGGACAGAGGCAGGCCTTGTCCGTCGCTTGGAGGATGGCTTGGAACTTGCAGGGAAACCCTCCCAGATGTCGCTGCACCACCAGGTCCCTCAGAGGGGGTGTCAGTTAGGCCTTAATCCAGTCCTAGAAGGGCTCCTGTGCAGTCCTGTCTGGGACATGTCTGAGAGCACCACTGTTCCTCAGACTCCTGCACAGGTCTGGATGGATTTAGAGCGTTCCCTGCAGCCACCTCCTCCAGGAAGCCTTCCTTGGTACCCACCTGCCCTGCCCCCAGACTTTGGGGGAAACGGGGTCTCGGGGGGTCAAGGGTCACTAGGGCGGGCCAGGTCCCGGAAGCGGAAGTGCGGCGCGCTTCCGGTGCGCAGCGGGCGGCCATGTTGGAGCAGCGGAGGCGGCGCAGAGGCGCGTCCTGGGTCCCCGCGGCGGCGCCGGTAGGTTGGGGCCATGGGCCTAGCCGCGCCGCGGAGGGGCCGTTCGCGAGGCGACGGGGCGGATGGGCCGGGCGGCCGGCTCTTTCGAGACCCGCGCCCTCCACCGGCCTGGCCAAGATGCCCCCCACCCCTCTACCCCTTGCCCAGCGACCCCACCCTGGGGCTGCGCGACCCGGTCGGGCTCGCCCCGGTCGCCCCGCCCGCCCCTCGCGTTTCGCTGCCTCCAAGATCCCTGCTCCTATCCGCGGCTCAGGCCCCAGGGACACGGACTCCCAGGCCAATGGCCCTGATCGGCCCCCAACCCGGTCCCACTTGGATGAGGCCTCTCCCGTTCCCTGTCTTTCATCAACTTCCCTGTCGGCCCCGGGGGCACGTGTGAAGGGAAGTCGGGGGCCAGACTGCAGCCTCTGTTTCCGGAGCCTCTTGGAAAGCCCAGAAGACCCCTCCCAAGAGTCTAGACCGACCTGGGCGGAAGAGCCCCCAGTTCACCCCCAGTATCTGTGCCTGCGGGGAAACAGGCCCCTCCCTATTCAACAGTTCACAGTCCTGGGAACTACACCCCCTGGAAAAAAATAATAAAAGAACTGAAGTCATGTGCAAGGATTGTGCTTGGAGAATGGCCTCTGGAGAGAGGAAGTGCCCGAGACACCTGAGGATCCAAGAATGTTTCCAAACAAAGAGCCCCAGGGCACTTCCTCCAGGGGATTCTGAAAACTTCCTCTGCTCCATTAGGGCGGTAGGAAGAAGCTGCACAGACGCGCCTCCTGGCCCCGGGGACCTGCCTGATCCCAGCTGATCTTTTAATGCTCCGGTACAGCTGGGGAGCTCCCTCTGGGAGCCCTCAGTGTTGGGTTGGGCGTTAGACATTAGTCCTGACTGACAGCCTATGGCTTTTTCCTGAAGAAGCCTGGGACAAGTTGGGTGTTCCCAGACAGCTCCATCTGGGCTGTACTGAGGTCTGCAGCCCTCCAGACCCCAGTTAGGACAGCTCAAATTTCTAGTGTCCACCTTATTAATCATCCTGTTGGAGGCTTTGGCTGTCAGACCTTGGGCTCTTGGTCTGGCTGCCTGGCCCCCAGGCTGCCTGATTGCCAAGACGTGTGTCTTGAGTACCTGCTACTTATCTTCTTAGTTTCTGTTGAAAGGAGAGTCTGACTCTTGCTTTGGGGTTAGTCTCCGTGGTTTCAGTGCCAGGATCAGACCTCTCAGCCTGTCTGGGTACTCCAAAAGCAAAATTTCTGGTAGGCAGGGAGGTTCACCCCTGAGCACCTGAACAAAAGCAGCTGGAGGAACAGAGAGAGATGGGCATGACTTCAAAGCTCATGTTGTCCTGCTCTTAGCTCTTTTTCCATGTAGACCTCCCAGCCCTGACCACAGACTCCAGTCACACACATTAAATGTGCCTTACTGTTTCTCATTTCCAAGCCATTGCATAGGCTGTTCCCTTTTTTGCTCCATTTCCATCTGGTCCTTCCTAGTCATCAGTCATGTCCCATCTAGGTGTTGCCTCTCCTAGGGATCCTTCTCTGACTCAGTGGCAAGCCAAGCTGGGTGCCAGTGTGCACTCCCAAGAACTTTGATGGTCTCTGTCTTGCCTTCTATCTAGGGCTCCTTGCAGACATACCTGCGTTCCCAGGGTTGAGTCTAATACCAGGTTTCTGGCCTCAGAAAATGGAGAATTGAATTAAAATGGGCCAACCAAGCCCAAATCTTTCCAGGGACCCAACAGCAGGTTGGATGGCTCTCATGAGCTGCTGGACATTTATCTTGAAGAAACTGCCTCTGACCCATGTGGGTGCCCCCTGCCACCCCAGTCCTCACCCTGACACCATGGTAGTTCAGGAGACCAGGGTTTTGCCCCAAGCTGTGGCTCACTCTGGCCAGGCTATTTGTATCGATGGTTGTTAATCATGGAGAGTGCAGGCCCTGATGGACTTATCTACCTGCCTTGCCCCTTACCTCAGTGCCTTTTTTTTTTTTTTTTAAAGATTTAATTTATTTATTAGAGAGAGAGAAACAGCATGAGAGGGGAGAGGGTCAGAGGGAGAAGCAGGCTCCCAGCTGAGCGGGAGCCCGATGTGGGACTCGATCCTGGGACTCCAGGATCATGACCTGAGCCGAAGGCAGTCGTTTAACCAACTGAGCCACGCAGGCACCCTTTGTTTTTGTTTTTAATGTAATGATGTATTTTCTTTTTTTTTTAAGATTTTTATTTATTCATTTGAGACACAGAGATAGAGAGAGAGAGCATGAGCAGGGAGAGAGGCAGAGGGAGAGGGAGAAGCAGGCTCCCCGCTGAGCCAGGAGCCCGAAGTGGGGCTCGATCCCAGGACCCTGGGATCATGACCTGACCCGAAGGCAGATGCTTAACCATCTGAGCCACCCAGGCGCCCCAATGATATATTTTCTTTAATGCAATATATCCAAAGTATTATCATTTTTTGTAAATAATCTCTACACCCAACATGGGGCTTGAACTCACGATCCCAAGATCAAGAGACGCATGCTCCACCAACTGAGCCAGCCAGGCGCCCCTTGGTGCCGTTCTTATTGATTCTTTTCCTCTTGTCTTGGAGGTGCCGAGCGCTGGTTTGTGGATACCCAGGCAGATCTGCAGTGCCTAATGCCATGAGCGTGGTGCAGCATGTGGAGGAGAAAGCTGTGCACTCCTGGTCGCGGATCTCCACGGCAGGGAAGAAGGCCCTGGAGGAGGCGCTGCTTGTCTTTAACCCCATGAGCCAGGATCTCAGTGCCACAGAGGCCCAGCTTGTAGCCTTCCTGCAGGGCCTGCGGGATGATGGCTTCCAACCCACCATCCTGCGCAGCGGTGATGTCTATGGCTATAGTTCATGCACAGCCAACCCCCCAAGCCAGACGAAGCTGCAAGCCCGTGCCCCCACCCCAGCTGCCACATCACCTCCAGCCAGTGCTCCCCGAACTGCCATGCGGCTGCCTGCAGGCCGGGCCACGCTGCTCCCTATGCCACTATCTGGAAGGCTGGCCAAAGCATCCTCACCAGCCCTTGCCAAGCATGCTACCACCAACCTGCTGCTGAGCTCCCTGAAGCAGTCAAGTGCCAGCCGTGCCCGGGGTGCAGCAGTGGGCTTCCCCGCCCACCTCTATCCAGGTGTCTACCCTGCCATGCGGCTCTCTGTTGTCCTTGAGGCCCTGGTTCCACTAAAGACTCCCATGCCCTGCTTGGGTGCCAAGCACAAGGCACAGTCACTGCAGCTCTCACTTGCAGACTCTCCCCTGAAGCTGCGCAAAGGTCCAGGGAAGAGGCAGGGGAACTGTCGGTCCAAAGCTCCCAGAAAAGCCACAGGCAAGGGCCCTAAGTGTCTGACTTACAGAGGCCCCAGGGCCAGACCCCAACAAGGCACTACACCCCGGAACAAGACCTACAAAGCCACTGGGTCCCTCGGTGGCCTACGAATGAAAGGTGGCTCTGCCCTGGGCACCAAAACATCCCAGGCCAAGGCAGCTCGAACACTGGCCAAAGCTGCCCAGGCCAAGGTGGCTCGAACACAGGCCAAAGCTGCCAAGGCTCGAGCAAAAGCCAAGGCAGCACAGATCAGGGCCAGGGCCAAGGCAGCACGGATCAGGGCCAAGGCCAAGGCGGCACAGATCAAGGCCAAAGCCAAGGCAGTGCGGGCCAAGGCCAAGGCAGTGCGAGCCAAGGCCAAGGCAGTGCGGGCCAAGGCAGTGCGGGCCAAGGCCAAGGTGGCTCGGACCCAGTCCAGGAGCAGGGGCAGTCCAAAAGGGTCTGTTCAGGCCAGGACTGCGAGGAGGGGCCCAAAAAGCCGCCCTGAGACTGTGGGGCAGAAGAGGAAAAGGGCTGAGGAGGCAAAGGATCTTCCTCCCCAGAAAAGAACACGACTTGGGCCCCGATCCCCTAAGGCGTGGCTAGGGCCTGGAACAGCAAAGCTGCTGAAATTCCGGGCCATCAAGGTGGACAGGCGGTCCTCGGACGATGAGGTGCGGCAGCGGGCTCAACGGATCCTCCGTGTGAACCTGTCCCCTGTAATACAGCTCCAGCCATTGCTGCCATACTCAGCACCCTGATTCCTTCGCATAGCAATGTTTGGGGAAACTGAGCCCAGTTGTCTGTGCAGCCAGTGGCACAGTGTGCAATGCCCATGGATTCTTCAACCCCAAGGACTCCAGGTGCCTCTCCAGGGCCCTGAGAGCCACCATTCTCTTTTCAGAGACTGGAGGATATGGGGTGGTATGGGTGGGCGGGAGGGGTGTTCTCATGGCGCGATGCACTGTGATTTGTTACTCTTCAAGTTGTACCTCCACTGTTCCATCTATCACGTTTTATACCTTTCCACCTTCCAGTCTCCCTGCCCACCCTTCATGGTCTTTTTTGCGTTTGTAGCTGCTGGTGGGCCAGCTTGAGCGTATAGGAAAAGTGGCCCCAAGAACAGGGCTGCCAAAGGGGGTTGTGGTAGCCTGAGACAAGTCATCAGTGTGAGTGGGAAGAGTAGCTCTCAGGCTTCTCTGGAGGTGCTGGCCTCTGTCGATGTGTGAGAAGCAGCCCCTGAGGACAGGGGCAGAGCCCCTCGGAGGTGGCACACCTCCCCATCGGGCTGTACTGGTTTGTTATCCAGGTAGGCCCTATGCAAGAGGACAGTAGGTGGCTCTGTGGGGAACCGTGCAGCCAGCAGGTTTCTAGGCCAGGGAAGGGGGGTTTTGTGGTACTGCTCCCCAGGGGCCATTCAGACAGCCTGGCCTTGTCTCCTAGCCTGCTCTGGCTGAAATCTTGGGGCTTTACCTGAGCTTGTCTGGGGCAGGGCCAGGCCTAAATTAGCTAAAGGACCTCTGCCTGTCCTTCCAGCCTCGACTTCCCCAGTTGGTGGCAAGGGTTTGGGGTTGAGTCAGAGGCCAGGGCTCTGGGTTGTTTGGCCACTGAGTCTGTCCTCACTGACTGCAGAATTTTCTCCTTTGATCAGTGGGGTACTGTGTTAGCTGAGCCAGGAGAGTTTCTACAACTGCTTCGCCCCATCAGCAGTGCTTTCTGCCTGAGTCCCAAGCACTCTGTTCCCGGGTCCAACCTTACCAAGCTTCCCAACAGGGCCCTGTGTGTATTTCAGACACTAAAGGCTCTTCCTGCTTTGGAGAGGGGGCTGGGCCCCCAGAACAAAACTAGCTCCCCACCCATCTGCCAGTCCTTCCCTGTCTGCCCGCCCTGAAAGGCAGTGGCTCGGGCTGGCAGGGAGGGGGACACATTCCCCGGAGGCTCCTAGAGACCAGCAGCCTTTCAGGGCTAGGGATGGGAGCCTCATTTGAATGAGAATCGGATCTCTCCTGTCTCTGGGTTGATCTGAACCCTGGCCCCACTAGCGCCAGCTCCACTGGATGGCGGACCCGTAGAGAAGTTCTGCTTGTTTTTTTTGGTACCCCCTCCCTTTTTTTTTCTGCATCTGGTGGCTGCCATTAGTAGGGTACGGCTTCCCTTGGTTCCCAGGCTCTGGGGACACCTTGCTCACAGCCTCACCGTGGCTTCACAACCCTGCATGCTCCTTGTGTCTGGCAGTCCTGCTTTCATCTACCATGTGAGTATGGGGCCACACCCAGCTCCTCAAGGGCAGGGGCCCTTGGGGCCCACTCTTCATCCTCTCTCTCAGGCCTGATTCCAGCTCATGGCCCAGGACCCCCAGCCTGGCTAGGCCTCCTCCTTCGCAGTCTACAACTCCTTTCAGTTCTGCTGCTGCTGCCACCAATGGGTGGGAGGTTGGCTCTTTCCCTGAGAGCCATCCAAAGGGGGAGAAGAACTCTCCAGGCCTCCCTGTGGGGAGTGAGGTGAGGGGTATCCCTAGGATCTCTACTCAGACCCTGTCTTTCCCAGTCTAGGCTCCCAGAACAATTGCTGAGGAGGTGCCAGACACACTTTCCCCACCAACTGGCAACTTGATTATTGGCCGTGGCCAGAACCTTCTGAGCCCTACTGCATTGTCAGTCACCTACAGGTGGGGAGGAGTGTGAGGGCTCTGGAGATGGTATCTCTGGGTTTTCCGGGGCAGGTTTGGCCTTGCGGGGGTTCAGGTCATTGCTGGGGGCTGAAGAGGGGAGGCCTGTGCTGTGAAATTTTGGAATTGGGGGCCAACTACATACCTCTTGCCTTGTCATTCTCCTTGGGCATTCCCCCAGGAATCTGAGAATTGCTTCTTTTGTGACTCTCGGGACCAGGGAGGCCATGGCATTGAGAATATGATCTGGAGTGGTGGTCGTGGCAGCAACAAGACCTGGTGGCAAGCAGAGTGGTGAGGGTACACGTGTGCCCTTGTGTTCGGGTCTAGGGTCATGGCCTGGTCACTCTGACGAGCCCTTGTGGTTGCAGGTGTTGAGAATGTCACCATCCAGCTGGACCTAGAGAGTGCCTTCTACTTTACCCACCTCATCATGACTTTCAAGGTGACCCAATGCCCCAGCCTGAAGGCTTGCTCTGTGTCTCCTGACCTGATGGCCACCAGTGATGCTTGCCCCTGGTGACCTAAGGATCCCCTCCTGTCCCCTGGCATTCCGCCCAGCAGCTCTGCTCCTGGAGCGCTCAGTGGACCATGGCCACTCCTGGCACGTGTACTGATACTCTGCCTACAACTGCTCAGGCCTTTTTCCTGGGATCCATCTTGCTCCTGGCCACAGAGTCAGTGACCTTGTTTGTGACCAGTTTGTGACTCTGACATCAAGCCTTCCACTGAGGGCCAGGTCAGGCCCAGAGGAAGGGGGGTTGGGCCCTGGGGTGAAGCCAGAGGCTCAGGTTTGCTTTCGTCTCTCAGGTAATTTTCAAAGTTCTGGACCCAGCCATTCTGGTGGAGAACCCAGACAACCCCAAGATTCAGGGTAATTGTCACCACAGCCAATCCTGTACTCCTTGCATGTTAGGACAGCCAGATACTGGGGGGAGGTGAGGTCCTGCCTGGGTGTATACTCAAGTGGGGCAGGGGTGGCAGGCAAGCCAGCATCATTCCCCAGCTCTGCACCATTGTAGTCCTCTATTGTGGGCCCTGTTAAGGCCCTCCATTCCTATCCCATCATTGTTCCCTGGACCTGTGCCCAGTGCAGAGGGACTGGCACGTGTAACAGTTTCCATCTCTGCCCCATCATAACTCCTTTGTGGGGCCCCATTGTAGTTCTCATCGCTACTTTCTATGCCAGCCCCAACAATGTACCCCATCACTGCACCTATCACTGAACATCATGACTGTCCCCTTTATGAGCCTCCATCACTGCCTCCATCCTGGTCCCTTCGTGTTGCCCTCCCCTGATTCATCATCCAGGCCTTAGTTGGTACCCTGCATCTCTGCAGCTGCCTCTAGGTGATGCCAGGGCGTCTCTGGGTTGTGACCTCTTTCTTGTGAGGCAGGAGTCTTGAAAGACAAGAGACACATAACCAAAACCCAGCAAGGCAGCCCAGAGTCAGGTCAGGCGAGTACCAGAGCAGGACATAGCCCAAACTAGCACTCTCCACCCACCTTGACTGGTTGTTACCAACCACTCACCAAGTCCCCATGCTAGGTTTCCAAGCAGTTGTTGCTCTTCTGATCTGATCACGGGAGAGACACCTGGCAAAGGAGGGGTACAAGAGATAACCTTGGCTCAGTAACTGACATAAGCTGTGGAGCAGAAAGGAGCCATGGACCCATCTCTCCCATGTGTACATTGAACAAGTGCCCATTGAGCTCCGCTGCGTACCAGACATCTATCTTCTGAGCAGGGCTCAGTGGGAAGGAGATGGACAAGGTATCTGTCTTCTTGGAGCTGACATGAAAGAAAAACTGGATAAAAAAGCAAACTAATACCGTATATGGTTTGGCTGGATGATAAACTGATTTCTAGTTTTGATGATGGGCTGGGGAATGGAATGCTTTACAGCATTGGGGAAGTAGGTTTCAAATATCTAGTGATGCCAAGATGGGATGTCCAGGAAGCAGTGGGATGTGCAGGTCTCAGCTCAGGAGTGATACTAGGGCTGGAGCCATGCAGAAGTGGAATTATCAGCATTAGGCTGTAGTCATCCTAACATGACATGCCCGGAGGAACAGGAATGGGGGGTCCCACAGCATGAATGCTGGAGGAGATGGCTGTAGTGACTCAGATAAGAGACTCTACCCCCGTTCCTCCCCCTTTCATCCCAGCCATAGAGGGATGATGACTAGTGCATCTGAGGTCCCCCAACCTGTGTCTCCAGAGCTCCTGTGTGTGACAAAGCTCCGTGTCAACTTCTCCAAACTGCACACACTGGGTGACAGGCCACTGGGGGGCCTAAAGCGACACCCCTTCTACTACTGTTCCCTTTATGAGCTCGTGGCCAGAGGCAGCTGCCTGTGCCATGGCCATGCCTCTGAGTGTAAGCCCATAGCTGGGACCCCAGCCAATGTGAAAGGCGTGGTGAGCACCATGGGAGGGGCATCCAGTGGCTGGTGGGGTGGGCAAGCTGGGGGGACTGGGGCAGACTCATCTTGCCCTCCTCCCTGGCAGGTGCATGGCCTTTGCGTCTGCCGCCACCACACAGCTGGTACCCACTGTGAGCGCTGCCAGGACCTGTACCAGGACCACCCATGGCATGCAGCAGAGCCTGGGCACCCTCACGCCTGCCAGGGTAGGTGCCATGCCCTCTCTGCCTGGCCAGACTTGCCCGGCTCAGCCCACTCCATGTCCACCTTCCTTGTTCTGCCCTAGAATGCAAGTGCAATGGGCATGCCCACAGTTGTCACTTTGACATGACCTTGTATCTGGCATCTGGCAATGTGAGTGGAGGCATGTGTGACACACGTCAGCACAACACAGCTGGGCGCCACTGTGATCTCTGCCAGCCCTTCTGCCGAGATCCCAGGGAGGATCCCTGTTCCCTTCACTCTTGCAAACATGAGCCCTCCAATCCCCAATCCCAACTCTGACCTCGATCCTTCAGCTCCGTGGTGACCTCTGACCTAACTCTGTCCTCATCTCTGACCCATGATGCAGCCTGTAACTGGGACCCTGGGGGGACCCTGGAAGGGGGTTTGTGTGATGCCCACACAGGTGAGACCTGTGGTCTCCTCTCTGGGCAGTGTTGCTGCAAAGTTCATATCTGGAGCCAGCACTGTGACTTCTGCCAGCCTGGTCACTGTGGCCTCAGCCCCACCCAAACAGAAGGTTGCCAGCATGAGTTATCCTGGGAGCGGACCCCAAACGCCATGTCCTTGCTCTGCCCCCAGTCAATGCCATAAGAACACATGCATGCACCTACCTCTGCAGCAGTCCCAGTAGCACTCTTGGAGCTCCGCGCCCTAGCCTGCAGGTGTGACCCCTGGGGCCAGGTCCCTGGCACTCATGCCTGTGATACCT